TGCATTAGAATTTTAAAAACCTTTGACATTTACTTTCTCTATTTACCTAGAAAGGCTGAAGGTAATCCTCAGTTAATGATGGTAATTGGGTTTGTTTCTAGGCAACGCTGTCATAAAGCACAACATCATGTCACACACACACACACACACACACACACACACCTTAGCAATGGGAAATCCAGCACTCCCAATTGTTAAGCAAATCACAGAGGTTATGAAATGATCATGGAACTTATAGTTGGAACTTTTCCAGGAGATCTGCCTCCATCGTGTTCCTTCAGGATTTTCCATGGCTGCTCCCATCACTGCTGTAATTGAGTCCATCCACTTTGCTGGCGGTTGTACTCTTCTTCTCTTTTCTCTCAGTTGAAATGGAAGAGAAACATAATTGATGCTAATACTTGCGTTTTCTTACATTTTCTCTTAATTCCACAGTAGATGTTACTGTGCCCCTACTGTCTTATGATTTACTGACAGGACTCTTTGTTCAGTTGTAAACGCCTCAGTTTGCCTTAAGTCAGTGTTGACCCACCTGGATGGGTCCCTGCCATTTCCAGAACAAATTTTAAGGAGTGGTTGGCCATTGCTTGCTTCCTAGGGCTGAGAGAGAGAGAGAGCAATTGATCTAAGATCACTGTTGGCTTTTTTCCTAAGCTGATGGTAAGCACCGGATGCCAAAATGCTCTCTATCTCAAGTATGTGATATCTTTATAGTACATGGACTAAGTGCCAGTGCCTTTTTTATTTAGCATTATCTCCATTCACTTTATGTCCTCCAGAATCCCCCACATCACTAATACTCCTCTTTCAATATTTTTTGCCTTAAATGGTTCCTCTCCCCTCTGTTTTGTTTTCCAATGTTGAATCACTCGCAAAGATTTCTGTTTTTCCCTCCCTTTCCTTAGGGAACCTGAGTCAATCCTTTTTCACATACTATTTTCTATTAAAACCTCTGCTAAAAAATTTCTTCCAGTCAAATTTAAGACTCTATTACTTGTAAACTTCCATATGATTTTCTGGGACTTTCCTTTCCTGATACCTCTCTATCTCTTACATTGATAATGTCTTCCCATTTTTTCCTTCTCAATTTTTTTTAAAAGCTTTAAATATCTCTCTTTTATCAATGCTGCTACTTATACAATCCACATGATGGCACATCTATCTCCTCACCTTTTTTTAACCATACTTAAACCTCTGCTTATTATTTTTAAGCTCTAATAATCAAAATCAATTTTTCAACGCCCATCTTTTCTCCTTCAGTATGATTAATCTTTCCTCTGGCTCTTCTTTTCACCTTCAGTATGATTAATCTCTCTCTCTTTCTCTCCTGCCACTCCCTCCTATTAGAATGCCTGGGGTTTTTCTAGATGGGCAAAAGTACCCATGGTTCATATTCAAAAAGAATATGAACTTGCAGAGTTAAAACAAAATATAAGTGAGGCCACATTACAATCATTAATTTTCCAATTGATTATATCTATTTAAGTTCCATATTACAGAAACATGTACAATGTGCTGAGTCTCATACTGGAGAACCACTGTTTACATAGCTGTCTAATATTTGCCAATAAGTGCTCATAAATCTCAGAATTGAACAGTTCACTGAATAGTTTTGTATACATTGTCAGCGCTGACAAAACATTTAGCTTTTAGATCAATAGATCTATGCAGAAGCACTTACATACTATCTAGCTGTTGTGGGCAATGAAACTTGTCTCCTCTCTTTCCGGCCCCAGAATGTAAAAATATCTTCTGCATAGGTAGGCACACAGGTAAGTAGGACATCTCCCTCATTGTATGGAAAAGGTTATTCCCAAGTTCTTATATTTCAATATTATGAATTTGATTTGTTGATTGTATTTTTAAAGTTATAAGTCACAGAGGGGAATTGTACTCTTGTGGTTTGAGAGATCTATAGGCCCTATGGAAGAAAGAAATTCAGAGAGCTAGTTTGGTCTAGTGCAGAGGTGGGTTGCTCTCGGTTCAGCCTGGATCGGGTGAACCAGTAGTAGCGGCGTTGGGAGGCTCTGCCTATCCACCTGGACGATTCTGCACATGCACAGAAGTGTTGCGCACGCTAGCATGAGCGAACCGGTAGTGCCGGGATTTGGAACCCACCTCTGGTCTAGTGGTTAAGATAGAAGGTAAAAAGTGGGAGACTATGAGCTCTAGTCTGGCCTTAGCCATAAAAGCAAGCTGGGTGACCCTGGGCGAGACACTTCCTCTCAACCCAACTCATCTCACAGAGTTGTTGTAGGGAAAATAGGAGAAGGAGGGATACTTTTACCACTTTGAATTATTTGCAAAAAATAGTCAAGGCGGGGTACAAATCCAGATACAAATACAAAAATAGATTTAGCTACATACTATGCAATAAACACAGTATAACATTTTGCTTTGGAGTCCAGTGATTCTCAAGATTTTCTCCAAATTTAAAAGAGACATAATCTAACCACCTGTCCTTACCAGCCTGATACTTCTCCAACTGTTTTATACTTCCAACAAATATATTCTGCTTCATATTGTGGTCCTTTGAAACTTTTTCAAATTTGAATTTTCTATATAGATAGCTATCTGCTATCAGACTATCATCCTTTCTTATTACACTTTTTAGTAAAATTGTTTATTAAAACTTTTGAAAAAGATTAAAAACTAACAAGAACTAATATAAAGTGCAGAAAAGAGGGAAAGGGGAAAAAGAAAAGAAAAATGCAAAAAGAAAGAGTGAAGCAAAATAGAAAGAAGTAGCTTTTGATTTTCTCTGCAGCAAATATAAGTACAAGTACAAAATTTATCTTTCACTCTATGGGTACAAAGAAAAGCTCTGTCTATTATCTATTTTTTCAAATCATCAATTCACTTGACAAATGTCTTGGTTAGCAACAGAAATTTTGGGCTCAATTATGGTCGAAAGTCAAGGATTATCTTCACAATCTGATATCCTGGTCTATCTGGAGCAAGGATAATGAAATAGAGAAGTTTTTAAAAGATAGCTATTTAAATGTATTAAAATATGTACATACTTGAATAGTAATTACATTAAATAACTATATATTGAATTGTAACTATTTATTTCAAAAATAATATACTATATACTTTTTTTCCTTTTTAAGCACTTTCTATGTGTGTTTTTATTTAACAATGTGTGTATTTTTAGGGGGGGGGTATTTTTCTTTTGTCATTATTTTAAACAGCAATAAAAAATATTTGCCACAAAGGAAATATCTCTTTATCTGTAGATTAATTACTTCCAAAAGTGTTTAAGAAATGTGAATAGATGGACTCTTTGTCCACAAAGGATACATTAATTATTGTGAGTATAGATGGAATCCAACAATATCCAGCTGTTCAACTCCCATAACAACTGCAAAAACTTTCATTTCTGCAGTTTATGCATGAGGACTGTGGGTTATTTCACAGTCTCTTTGACCCAGAGAGATTTCATCGCTCAGCAACTGCCCTCCAGCCAGAACTCTTGCCCATAACAAATCTCAGCTCCTTTGGAGATGTTAGTCCACCAGAACCCTCACTGGAAGCTCCATCCTTTTATGTTATAATTATTGCTCTTTGACATCAAACCTCGTAGCCAGAGAAGGAGGATGTTTCGAGTTTGAGGCCCGATATGCCTTAAGATAAAGTGAAGTATATTACTCATTTTGCACCAGAGAACTTGCACAAAGAGTAGCATAGAACTGCTTTCCCTCTGCACCTGTGCTTTCATCTGCTAATGGTTTCCTAATTAGCAATAATTGTCTCTTGTCTGCCCTAGAATCATGAAGCACACTGAACCTGCCATCAGAAATCACAACCAAGTGGTCTTATAATCAAGACCTAATTAAGAAGAAAATGCACACTTCATTATCTTATGGCATGTGTTTTGTTACTGCAAACGTAATTAATTAGAGTTCAATCAATCCAAAAATGGCTTGTTCTTTCCTTACGGTGGATGTGATGGTAGGAAGACAAGTTTGGTCTTTGGAGACTTCCCTTTCTTCTGTAGCATATGGAATTCCTCACTGTGAACGGGATTCAGTCTAGTTTCCAGAAGACCAGTAGAGGGAACTGTGATAGGTGAACTCCTACAGGCTCCTTTCTTAGTTTAGAAGCAATAAAAATAAAGGAAAAAAGAGAAACTGTTTCATTCAGTGTACAACTCAGAAAGTTTCATTATATATTAGAAGATTAATATTAGTCTTTCAAAGTAGGCCAGGTCAGTAAACAGTCATCCTATGAACTACTGGAACTCTACTTCATTGTTATGAACTATATCAACAGCATCCTGAAATCCTGACAGATTTCCCTTCCTTTCCTCTTATACAAAAAAGGCTCAAGGCAAGGTAGTCTTGGGTTTCTTCCTAACTGGAGATTGTCGGCACCTGGATGGGGGTCAGCAGGCTTTGACTAAACTCTGGCAAGACTAAACAGTTTTGGGTACTCTGGGATCTGGGACTTCGTCTTCTTTGACTCTGAATGGGGTGGCACTGCCCCAGATGGATCCGCAATCCAGAGGGTTCTCCTGAACTTGTGACTCCTTCTCAAAGAGCAGGTGCAATTCCGGCTAGAAGAGCCTTTGCACAACTTTGGGTTGTGTGCTAAATGTGGCCTTTCCTGGATCAGGATTCCCTGAGTTCAGTGGTTCAGGTGTATGGTAAAATATTCTTTCCTTAAAAAAATACTTTGTTAGAGGTCACTCCTTTCGAGTAAATATTTATTTTCTACATCTCTTTCATTTCATTTTAGGGCAAGCGTTATAAAAACTCTTTGGAGACTGTGGGAACTCCAGATTCCAGCCGATGCCGGAGTGAAAAGAAAGCCATTAAGTAAGTCCCAGTAGGAACTATTGGAGTGAATGGGTTTGAGGTGTTTGAATTAGTGATTGCATAAACCTACATCAAAAAGGATAGGTTTGATATTATACCTTCAAGCTACCTTGCATTTGAAAACAAGGCACTTCCAGTCATTTTGATTCCAGTGGTCCAAAAGTTACATTCCTATCTGTTCCACAACCTTATTACACCAAATATACATGCAGCTATACTCCTTATACTCTTGCACATTATTCATATTGTTCACTTTGGGTTAATTGTTCCTCTGTTTCCATAAACACCACGTTGTTCTTTGACCCCCTCATCAGATAATTTTCTTTCATTATTTAGCATACTAATATTTTTCCTTGTATTAGCTTAGCACATTGACTTACCTAGATAGTGGCCTTCCTTCCTTTGTAATATCCCACATCTCATTATTCTATGGTTACTGCATACCTCAAGATTTCAAAATCTATTTAATTCTTGTTATCCATCTGCCTTCCATCCTGCTACAGGCCCATTCCATGTACAATTATTATCTGTTCCATTAACGCTGCCCCTTATCATAATCTCCTATCTTCTTTTTTTAAAACATAGTCTAACTTAAGGAACCACAAAAAGGAGGCCTTCCTGTTAACTGTTAGCACATGAACAATCAACTGAATATAAATCATCCCAACAGTGTTTCCTGCTATTGTAAAACATATCTTGTAGGCATCATTTCAAAATATTCATTTGTCTATAAAAGCTAACACATGCAAACATTGTAAAATTGTTTTCTCTTTTGCATGTTTTATCAAACAATTTGTAAATGGCTAACCAATTTCATCCAGACACATTCCTCTTTTTCAGATCGTATCTTCTTCCCCAATTATTAACAAGATGGCTAGATTTCTAAGAAATGTCCAATGTTATTTAATGTGTAAGCAATTCTCACTTGTTATGTGCTGGTCAGCTGAAAAGATTAATGTTTCTTCCATCTTTTGGCAAATGATAAATTCTCTATCTGGAAGAGCAGTCAATTGATGTTTTCAGTTTATGGTCCTCCAGATCTTAATAGATTACAACTCCAAGCAGTCCCAGGAACATAGCTGATAGGGAAGGGTGCTAAAAATTGTAGTTGAGCAACATCTGAGCCATATGTTCCCATTCCTGCAATAGGACTTAATCGCATGGCCAGGTGTAATATCAAATTTAGCATCTAGAGGAATAGATAACATTGTGCAACCACATAGATGTTTATATGGAAGCCTCTGTAATATGTGATTTTGAGGTACAGGTTTAGTTACACAGAAAAGAATCAAACCTATCCTTTAGACCTTGCATATGAAAACAAAATAAGGACACATTAATAGTAATTAATTTTCTTCTGGCATATGATGCTATTGTACCAAACAGTGGGATACTAAAAGCCCTTATAGTTATCTCAGTTATTTCCTTGATAGAGCAATATAATTCTACACATACCTCAGCTGACAATGGATCATCATTCATCCATTTCTTTTACTTCATATTGCAAGGATATTTTAAGGTGAGTTAAATTTTTATGATCATTGCACATAGCAACAGATCACAGTGAAATAATATTTCTCTGTCATGGTCCCATTATTTGAATTTTTTATATCTAGGCTCCCTTGTAGTGGGACTGAATATAATCTCATCTTCAGGAATGGTTAAAAATGTTACACTCTGGAAAGCATGATTAAGTAATAATTTCCATAAAATAGCTGTTTCACCTTCTGATATAATCACACAAGCTTCCCTTGGTTCTTCTCTGACATCTGCCTACGGGATTCCCAAATCTAATTTTCTACACTAAAGAATGCTATAAAGTTTTGAGATTTGCTTGATGACGTTCAATGGAAAAGCTGGATGAAGGAACCTTGGTGATTGGCCCTAGAGCTATGGTGATTTAGTAAAAGAAGTGTTACCTTAAAAAGTATGGACACCTGCAATTCTGCCTCTACATCTTCAGATGGGTTGATAAAATCAGTTGATAAAATTTCTGTCCCTTTGTGTGCCTTCATGTTTGTGCATGCCTTTATGTGTAATTTGTGCATATATATATATAAAACTGTGTATATAGCTATTTATGTGTTTGTGTGTGTGAAAATTATGTATATATGTATGTTGAAGATATGTGCTCATATATACAGTCATTTGTTAATTCCTGGATGCATGGTCTCATCAGTAGCTTATGGTTCTAGGTGACACTATTAGTCAGTCCCTCAGTTAAATCAGACCAATTGGTGCCATGCTCCAAGGCCATTATAAATGTGTGAACCTGATAGTTATTTCCCTCTTGCTTTTGATCTCATGTCTGGAGGTTACAGATAATTATGCTGAGAGTAGAACAAGACCACTACAAACAATAGTCCTAAGATCTTTCTGCAGCTCCAAAATGTTCACTTCTTAGCTCCATATTGAAAAGGTTCTACAAAAACTCTGCCCCAAAGGCATTTGTACCCAAAGTGGGAAACGGGCAGGCAGACATAATGGAGAGGTTGGTTTCTCTACTTTTTTGCAATACTTTTCATTCCCCCCCCCCAATTCTTTGTACCTTGTGGATGAGCCTTGAGTTCTTTGATGAACCTCAGCTGTCCTTTATAGCAAGCTTTTCATCTTCCCTCTATACATGTCTCAAGAAGCCATCTACAGGTTTTTAATTCTTGCAAATGGCAAGGACACTAAGTGAGTGGTAAGAGAAGTGGATGCAAGCAGGTAGCCTGCAAAGAACCTTTGATGTCTCTAATGAACTTGTTAGACAACCACTTGACTTCAAAAGCTATTGTGAAGTCGCATATGTTGTGACTCACTTGCCATTGGAGGCACTCTTACATTCAGGAGGAGATGGTTAGTTAGGCTCTAGCTGTTTACAGAACGGGTGATATAACCTACTTAGCAAGCACTGTGAGCCCACAAACTCCAGCCTGAGGCAGAGCACCCTCCTTCTGCTCCTTCTGCACAGCTGAGCAGAAGATCTACATGAGGAAATGCCACGTCCCCCAGGCTGAGCAGGCCTCTTCTTGAGGACAAGGATGTAAAGGTTTATCATTTCCCATGTTTCAAAGCTGTAATGACAAGGACAGGAAGAACATTCCAAGCCAGCCTCTTGCTTCAATTAAGATATTTTTTCCTGTTCAAGGGACCACTATTGCCCCTCCCCATTCCTTCAGAAACAATTTGAAGCCAATCCACAATTGTGTTTGTGCTTATCAATTTAAAATGGCCAAGAACAACACTGAAGGTTGTGAGCTTACTGGAAGGTTATTAAAGATGTGAGCCAGGAGAATGGTTGTGGAAAGAGAATAGAAGAATGCCAATAGAAGAATGGAGTCAATGTAAAGCTGTAACAGTTCAGGTTTAAAAAAAATACTAGCTTGGCTGCAATTTCAGGTACATGCAAATGACCTGGATCTGGAATACAACTATTACCATAAATCAATTAGGTTCAGAACAGATTCTTCTGCTGCAAAGACCGTTTGTGGAAGTGATCCTAGATTCAGTATGACAACTGAGCATTGACTAAGGTTTCTCCATAACCTTGATGCTGTTTTCCCACCATCACTTTGTTATACAGCTGATGAAAGAAATCTAAAGAACTTCCTAAGGATAATTTTCTTTTGGAAATTGTCTCATGGGCTTTGCCAATTAACTTATTCTCAAGGATCTTTGCTAATTGGGCAAATAGGTTCTTTTCTCCAGTTGGATGCACCAATTCTGCACAGGAAACTGGAAAAGATTCTTTCTCTGCACAACAGCATTAGTTCTAGCTAATGTTCCCACTATTTTATAAAAAGTTATTGTCCAAGATACTGCTTTGTTTTCCATACTACCCACTTTGGATGGGAAAAAAACACAGGAAGGCAAAATTCCCCCAAAAGGAAGAGTACAGGTAAGAGACAAGGGTAGAGTCCTGAGGAAACAGTCTCAGAGTCATTTAACTGAGGTTTCTTTAACACGAATCCCTCTCTCTCTTTTTCATTCTCCCTTACCATCAGCTCTGGGGATGCCTGCTCCTATCTTTTTTCAGCTTTGCCTTACCTATATATCATCTGAGTGTGTATGTGTGTTTGTGTGGACTCATGGGTGTAAGGCACAGAGCTTTACCTTCCACAGGAGGAGAAGTCAACACTAACCTTGCTGTCTCTTGGGTTATTTTTTTTTCTCCTTCCTCCCCTTGCAGGAATTTAGATTCTCTCTCTTGTATTTCCCTTTGTTTTTTTTTTCTCCCCTCTCACCGGCTGATCTAGTGATCTAGACAGAGACTTTTGGAATAACAATGACAACACAGTGCAGCAGAAATGGAGTTCCTACCCTCCCAAGGAGTTTATACTAAACATATCACCTTACGCCCCATATGGTGATCCACGACTTTCCCTCAAGTGAGTCTCTCTTTAACTGATTTGATCATACATAGTGAGTATATGCACACCTCTTTCCCACCTACCCCTCCCTGCTTTCCTCTTCCCCCTCCCCTTCTCTCCCTCCCCTGCACTCTTCTCCCTCCCCATGGACATATGGCCATGGAGACGAGCAACCCCTCCTCCCTTCTCTTTCTATCCTGCTCTTTCAGTGGTTCACAACTACTGGTTGGTACCTTGGAATATCAGGCTTGTGTTTCCATTTCTCCAGGAACTCTCCTATTACCTGGGTCTCAAATTTTGGTCCCAGTGAAATGGAAAATGCTGTGTTAGTAGGTTTGTTGAAACCAGATTAAATCATTGACTCATTAAAGTTTGAGGTAGTCAATCATAGAGCCGGTTTAAAAGGTGGGTTTGGACCTAATAAAATCCATTATGGTTTCAGCTAACTGAACGGGTTGGCACTGGATTGCAACTTAAATCCTTAAATCCACTCCAAAAGCCATTGCATTCCTTTTTTTAAAAAAATTAAGGACTTAGCCCAGGTTTTTCCCCTACTAAACTTATATGGTGCTTCCAGTGGTTTGAGAACCACTGCTTAGCAACTCACTGACAAAGTCCAGCACCTCCCCTCCCTGCACCCTAGTTCCTTTGGCTCTCCTCTCCCTCACCCACCCACTCCTTTTCTGCAGCACAGGATGGGGTTGCCCGTTTTGGTCACCCTCTCAGCGTATTCTCTGCATCTGCACTGTGTGGTGGTGGTGATGGTAGTGGTAAGCTCTCTCACTAACATTGCTTTTTTTTTTCTCCCTTCGCCTGCACAGTGCCTCTCCTAACGGTCTTATCCATTGTTCAACCCTTCGTTGTCTATGGAATTAACTTTGGCTGCAATCATAACTTCACAAGCCAGGGCTGCCTTCTGCCTTTGACTGGGACAAAGGCTCCCCTTGGCCCTTTCTTTTGCAGTGCTGATCTCTCTCTTTCTCTCTGTCTCTGTCTGTCTGTCCCTTGTCTGTCTCTCTTTTCTCGTTCTCTCTCTCTTTCTGTCTGTTCTCCTCTTCTTCATGTGACCTCCTTCTCATTGCCACCTGCCACCTCTCTTTCCTGACATACCATAGTGGCTCATTGCTGTCAGGTGCAAAGTTGGCTGCCTCAGCCACAGCTGGGTTGGCAGGAGAGCGAGAAGGATGCCACGGAGAGAGGCAGCAGCTCCGAGAGGACGGCATGAAGAGCAGCGTGTCTGCCCACAGCGAGCCCAGCATTGGGAAGGCGGGGAGAGGCCGATGGCAAATGGTGCAGAGCCAACTAGCAGCAGGGAAGCTCAGCTTATCCAAGTGAGTGAGAGTGCATCCCAGGACTGGCATGACCTGGCCTGCTGGCCCCAGAGGCATTGCAGTTAGGCGCATGGAACATAAACATGTCCAAATCCCATAATGAACTTTCTGCCGAAGCCCAGACAAGCACTGAAAAATATAAGGGCTGTCATAATGACACTATAACAGAATAGTCATAGTGTGGTGGGGATAAATAAATCTTGAGGCAGATGGTTGTGTTCTTCAATAAAAAAAGGTGGTTAAAGGCTTGAGAGAAGAGCTTTTTGACTTTTTAATGCTTTGAGATAGATTGCACATATATAAGCATGTAAAAGCTGGTCTCCGGTTGGGTCAATCTAAAAGTCTTTTGACAGCAGCTTTTTCATCAATAGCTATATTGCTGGGTCCTTCAGAGTAAATATACTGTGAGGCACAACATAATTCTAGAGTATAATCTTTAGTCATGTGATTTATTCCCATCCTTCCACAGTCACAAAAGCATTCAGTACCTTGAGCAAAAAAAAAAGTGTTCATATAATCCATCAATTTCTAAATCTAACTTAAATCCAGCTTTCATTGTTTACTCTTTTGCAAGAGAATCACATTGCAATATCTCAAAACTGGTGTGCTGTTGTAGAAGGGAAGGAACAACTGACTAGTAAAGCACTTTTTTGTATCAGATATTCTCTAAGGAACTCCCTCCAAGGAATTTCTCTGTGAAACCTATTATCGCATTATGTTCTTAGTCACAGGCCAAAGACTGATGACCTGGAATAGGGGTTGTACATTTGATGTTAGATAAATTTATTGTAACTAAACTGGAGAAAAAACGAGGGACTGGAAAATATCCATAATTTATTGCATTTGCTTCTTTATTTTCCTCATTTTAAAAAAAGTGTCTGACAAGGAAGGAAGAAACAATGGAAGCTGAGTCTGGCTAAATTCTAGTGTTAAATATAAACCTAAACCCTAATGGCCAACCTTCTCTTAGTAAGGATTCTTTTATGGAATCATTAATTTGCATTTACCAGACGCTTTTGTTGGTCAACATCTTACAAACAGTTTTGGTATTGCCAAATTCTACTCCTCCTTTTATTGCCTTTGCTGGTTCATGTGCTCTGATTAGGTAAAGGGAGACAAGGGCAGCAGCTTCCACTTAGTCTATGTGTGACAATATGGATTGGGTCCAAGAAGAAAGATCAAGCTAGTAGAAAGGAGAAGAGGCAGAAATAAAGGTCTTGCTAGAGAGGAATACCCACTTCAGAATCTTTTCCTCAGAACCCCATAAAAACCTGAAGTGCAAATTACTAATAGTTACACATTGTTGCACATGGTGAAAGAGCTTTGGTATATCTTATGCTACGCAGTTCCCACCCCTGAGACAAAGGCACATGCTGGGGCAAAGGCAGTTTTCATATCAGCATGTGCTGCTTTGATGGAAACAGCATACAAATCTCATGCTGGATGAAGTAATAGGATAATGATTTTATCATGGATATTTCTGCCAATCGTTATTTTCAAAATGATTATATTTCATTAGTCCACGGAGAATGAAATGTGCTTGTTAAATCAGTATTAAGGGCTTGTAAGCTTGGAGACCTCAGAGCTGATAAAGCTGCCATTGACACCACAGCCAAGCTCACCTTGCTCTTCTATGACTTGCACAATTACATTGTGGCTCTTCTCATGATCCGTGGAATCCAACACATTTGTCAGTGACCCAGTAGATCTTGCTCTATTCTCTGTCCTCCCCATGAGACCAGTTATCAGGCTAGTATCTCTAAGTTCCAGTTTCGGTGAAAGGTTCCTCAAGCTGGATCTTTTTCATTTCCAACAATTTGGAAACTTTCCTTTAGAGGTTTTTAAGCATATGTGACAACTCTTTGATGGAGTTCATGGAATTCAGCATGGTCAATATCGGATCTGTCTGTGGTCTCCTCTCAAAGCAGTGATCTCCTTAACTTAAACAACATGTGCCCTGGGATCATTTTGGAATTGTAAAGAATCAGCATCCCTTGGGCAGCTCTTCTGATCTCTAGGTCTTCAAGACATGGCTTTATATATGTTAATGAATACAGAAATGTGTGAGGGAAGTTGTTTTGTAATGCTGTTTCCCACTCTATTCTCAACTGCAAGATCATGGTATCTAAACAGAGTAATATCCTCAGAAATACATGTCCATTATCAGAAGTGGCTTGGATTGATTAGACTAAGTTGAAAGATTTCTTATTCCTATGATAGAATGTTTTATCATCCCTATAAAGGGAAGCAAAGATTTGTCCTAAGAGATATATGTACCCACAGATTCATTCACTCAGCGGGTCTTACAGCTACCCAGAATGTACATGCAGCTCAGTTTACTTTCTTTATTTTCTTTTAAAACCATTGGATTTGTGATAACTTCCAGGACTCTATTCTACCTATTTCAAAACAAAAACAAAACAACAGGTTCCCTTTATTCTATCACCATTTATTATCGTGCCAAAAATGTAAATAAATATTTGGGGAAGAAAGTGTAAATAAATACATAAGCAGTATATTAATATTTTCCAGACATTTAGTCCCAGACGTAGAGGGTTTTTGATCATATAGCACTTTCTGTGGAGTAAATCAATCTGATATACATACATACATACATACATACATACATACATACATACATACATACATACATACACACACACACACAC